ATTCTTATTTTATTTTTCCGGAATTGTTTTGAAAAAGATAGAAATAAGTTTTTCACTTAAAAGTAAACAAAATTCAAAAGTACTAAATTCGATCTGAACGGTCTGATTTTTACCCGTAAAATTTGATAAGTCCAAACATCCTTATAAGTTATAACAACTCATTGGAAAATCAATTCATTTATTTTCTGCCTTAATTTTTGCATTGACGTGCCAAAGGGTGAAAAAGTCAATTCCACAAATTTGCTCTGGCAAGAGGAAAAAAATGTTCTGGCATTATCAATAAGCCCGGAGTATACACCAGGCCCAGGGCGCACATTCTTTTGCCATATGATAAGGCGTTTTGTCGCCAAAATGTTGACCACCACAATCCACGAGCTCCAGCGGCGCGTGAGTTTCACTGTTTAAAGATTGAATCTTTCTTTTTTCACCTTTTTTATATTATTAATTATTCAGAAAAATAAAAATAAAAATTGTGTCTCTTTCGGCATAATCAAATAATCAATCACCCACTTTGAAAAAACTATCAACAACCCTTTACCTTCTAATTGAACACCGTACTTTCCTCTGCTACAATGTAAATATAGAGACTCAAATCTTTTTATTCATGACCAAATATTTGTTTTCAAGTAAGAGAGAGACAGAGAGAGAGAGAGAGAGAGAGAGAGAGAGAGAGAGAGAGAGAGAAAGAGAGAGAGAGAGTGAGAGAGAGAGAGAGAGAGAGAGAGAGAGAGAGAGAGAGAGATTTCCATATTAAACTTGGCTTATTCCGAGTATTATAAAAAGGGCTGTATATAAAAGATTCCAAAACCAAAAAAAAAAAGAAAAAAAAGCTGTCTTTAGGGTTTTGCTGCAGCTGCAAGAAGGGGTAAACGGAGTTTTCATCTTCAGCACCAAGGTAGGTGAAGACTCAATCCATAAAGTTAACGGTGCCGTCATCTTTTTTCACATTATTGAACAATTTTTATTTTGTGGGAGTGGTTGAAAGATTCTTAGCCTGGTCTGTGTTCAGACAATGGGAAAAAATAGTATCTGTTTGTTTTGAAATGGTTTGTCCGATTACAGCAAAATGCAAGAACATAAGAGATTTTCTGGGCATGCCCATTTGAAAGTTTCTTGGATTCAACATCAAATCAATCAAAAAGACACCTCCTTTACTTCTTCTTCTTCTTACCCACCTCCATTTATACCTAATTCTAATTTCAACAAAGAATCCCAATCTGGGGCTACTAAAATCAGCCCTGCTGTTCTATTCATCATAGTAATTCTAGCTGTTCTTTTCTTCATCTCCGGTCTCCTCCATCTCCTTGTCAGATTTCTGACCAAGAATTCCTCACCCTCTCAGTCTAGTTTAAATCTAGAACCTTCCGGAAACTCCGACGCTCTTCAGCGACAGCTCCAGCAGCTCTTCCATTTACACGACTCCGGTTTGGATCAAGCGTTCATCGATGCATTGCCCGTTTTTTCTTACAAGGAAGTTGTGGGCCCCAAGGAGCCCTTCGATTGCCCCGTTTGTTTGTGCGAGTTCACGGAAACCGATCAATTGAGATTGCTTCCCATGTGTAGCCATGCTTTTCATATCAACTGCATCGACACTTGGCTTCTATCGAATTCGACTTGCCCTCTTTGTAGGGCTACTCTTTTCAACCCTGGATTTTCGATCGAAAACCCTATTT